ACACACACACAAAGTAAATGAACAATGTAAACAAGGGCATATATATATATATATATCTTTGGGCATATATGTATATATGCACTAAGTAAATGAAAAATGTAAACAAGGAGCAATGCTAATCCACTTTTGAGAAAAGGTCAACAAATTGCTCTAAGTATTCATAAAAATTTCATGAGCTACTTTGCATAAAATGATAAGTGTGTTAATTAAGTTTATGGTTTCATTAGATGCAGTAAATGAAAGGTAGTCACTATTTATTTAAGAAGAAGTACTTTTATTTTCCTAAAGTCTTAAAATTATAAGAAACAGAATCGTTGGATGCAATAAGAGTAGCAAACTTTCTGAGCCAAAGTTAAGACCCAGGAGAGAAAGGACTGACATTAAACCTTGAAGAGGGTAAAGGTAAGGTTACTGATGCTGGCTCTGCTTCCCACTTTTCTACACCACGGAGATGTTTCTGTCCATTGAGATGGTGGTGATGATGGTGTCAGTGGATGCAAGAAGGGTACAGTGAGCAACAACCAACATGACCTACTACTGGAAGCTTTAGGATTTGAAGATCCAAATCATGTACTTAGATTGCCTTGATCCAGTCAACATAACAAATACCACCCTATCCAATTTACTAGTGTTCTCCTGCCATTTGAAAGTTATACAATCTATTTCACTAACTAAGACCACTCAAGGATTTTAAAATAGTGGAACTGAGACAATTTGGTAGCCATCTCAAAACATAAAGGTAGAACTGTGTCTCATACAGTACATCAGCAAAAATTTCAGTTGAAAGGAAGTAGAGAAAATTAGAAGAATTCTTCAGTGATCTCAGAATAAGGAGAACCATTTAAACTATGATACAAATCCAGAATTAATAAGAAAAATGATGGATTTGTTCCCAATGCACAAATACCTGAGTAGTGAATTTAAAAAATCAATCAAACAAACAAAAACAGGAAAACAACATCAAAAAACAAATAAAGAAAGGCAAAAAGGTATTTTCAAAATTCATATCACAAGCAAAATATAGGAAGAGACAGTTCAAAGAAAAGGAAATAAAACTAAAAAGATTTTCAAACTCATTCTTATTAAAATAAATGCATATTAAAATTACTCAGAAATACACTTTTTTAACCTACCAGACAGGCAAAATTTTAACGCTAGACCATATGTTGTTGACAAGCCTGTGGTAAATGCACTCCTAGGCATTTAAATAGGCACGGTCTTTATATAGCACATTTTGGCAGCATTTGTCAAAATTGCCAACATGAAAGCCTTTGTCCTCCAATTCTTCATCTAAGAATGAATGCTACAAATATGCTTGTGCCCAAGCAAGATAATGTCCACATAATAAAGTATTTCAACAGTTTTAGAGATCTAAAGTAAATAGAAACATCTAAATTTGTATCACTAAGAGCTCATTAAGTGAAATATGATATGTTCTATATATCATATATATGATCATATATAATTATGTATCATATTACATGTATATAGATCATATATATTATATGTATACATATTAGAGCATGGAATACTATGCAGCTATAAAAAGGATGGGAAAGCTCTTTATATTTTGATAAAGATTTTCAGGATAGATTAAATAAAAATAGAAAGTAGGAGATAAATGCACATTGTATTTTACCATCAGGGTAAAAACTTAAATGAGTAGAAATAAAGAAAATCTATGTTTGCTGCTTGCATACACCTAATATTTTTCTAGAAGCACGAGCAAGGTGTTAACAGCAGTGATTACCTGGGGCTATGGAAGATGAGCAGATGGAGGAAGTGAGGAAGGGAGGGAGGGAGGGTGTGTTACTATACCCAAAGTTACATAAAAAATAAAATCAGTTTGACTGATTCATAATATTGATAAAATTTATCTTTTGAAGCAGGATTGTGTGGAAAATATTAAAATATTTTATTTTAATCATTATTATTGGCTCTATTAAAGAACTCACGAGATCATTAAAGACACAAACAGCACATAGAACAAACAAGTTGGAGAAACGGTGTAATTCCTTGCCCTGTTTTTTGTGGTTGTTGGTGGTGGTGGTTTTGTGTGTGTGTGTTTGTGTGTGTGTGATGTATAATGAGTTTAAATTTTCAAATGTTTAGAATTTGGACTTATTAATAAATTATTGTTCAATGCCTTTCTTATTTTAAGAAAAAAGTGAGATGTAGCTCAATTTCAAAGTGAAAACTCCAATATTAAATCTATCTGCCTTGTTACATCTAGAACTGACAGTTTATAAAGCATAAAGTTTCCTTCAGCCAATGTTAGCTCCTGAATCATTTCATCTTATAAATAAAAACTGTGTGTGGGGTGGCGGTGGTGGTGTTCTTTATTCTATCTCCATCAGCTGGAGGCCACCTCCTGCCACGCCTCATCATTACTTGGATCCCATTCTTCCTGTACTCTTCTTGCCTGAGCCCCGTTATGCCCCATCTATCCAGATTATGGCCAATCTTATAGCCAGTCTTACCTTCTAATCCAATTCCCACACAGCTGCCAAAATAACCTTTCTTAAAAGTAATCTGCTGGCCGGCACGGTGGCTCATGCCTGTAATCCCAGCACTTTAGGAGGCTGGGGCGGGGGATCACTTGAGGTCAGGAGTTGGAGACAAGCCTGGTCAACATGATGAAACCCTTTTCCACCAAAAACATGAAAAATTTGCCTCATGTGGTGGCCCCCACCTGTAATCCCAGCTACTCTGGAGGCTGAGGCAGGAGAATCACTTGAATCCGGTGGCAGGGGTTGCAGAGAGCCCAGATCGTGCCGTTGTACTCGCTCCAGCCTGGATGACACAGGGAGACTGCATCTCGAAAACAACAACAACAACAACAACAACAAATACCCACCAACCCACCAACCAAACAAAAAAACACAGTAATCTGCATTAGTAACCTCTGCCTACTCAACGTTCCATTTCTTAAAAAAGAGGTAAACCGTGTAACCTAGCATACAAAATCCTGGATAATGGGATCCAGGCCGACGAGCGCCTGGCACTCAGCCGCTGGAAGTCTTGAGCCACGCTCCCCTACATTTCTAACCCTGGCTGCTGCTTCTCCTGGCCTTGCAACCATGCTCCTCCTTCCCTCAGGTTTCAGCCTGTCCCTGCTGCATAAGGAGGGTTTCACAGCACCACACTCTGCATTTCCATGGCTCTGTGCACTAAGTGTTGGAAACCTGCATATGTTTTATAGATTTATTTGATTAGCATCTCTACACTAAGACCTTCAGAGAGGACAGTATACCTTTAAACTCCGTGTCTCCTTGATACATTACCTCTCACTGTGACCAGCTCAGGTAGATCACAATACCTTTCTTTTCTTTTTTAGATGGAGTTTTGCTCTTGTGGCCTGGCCCAGGCTGGAGTGCAATGGTGTGATCTCAGCTCACTGCAACCTCCACCTCACAGGTTCAAGCGATTCTCTTGCCTGAGCCTCCCAAGTAGCTGGGATTACAGGCACCTGTCACCTTGCCTGGCTAATTTTTTTTTTTTTTTTTTTTTGTATTTTTAGTAGAGATGGGATTTCACCACATTGACCAGGCTGGTCTCAAACTCCTGACCTCAAATGATCTGCCTGCCTTGGCCTCGCAAAGTGGTGGGATTACAGGTGTGAGCCACTGCACCTGACTCACAATACCTTTCCATAGGAGAAAGAAAGGGAGGGAGAAAAAATGAAAACATCTTTTAATTCATCAGCGTAATCCATCAAAGAATGAAAACTAAGAAGCTGTGGAACAAACAGTGAATAAACCCATGAAACCAAGTCAGCTATTAATTCACCAGCTTCACTTTTCTAATTACAATGAGTTTGATGCCCCCAGCCCTATAGGAAGCATCCAAGTTACTCAGTGAAGGGAATGGTGCTTTGGGCGGTTTTGGAGGTGGGAGTGAGCAGCCTTCGGGGAAGTGGCAGCTCCTGCCTGCTGAACGTCATGCTGTTGAACAGGCTGCTGCAGCTCTACTGGAGAAAACACTTCCCAAGAGGGAGGAGAGAGACATTTAGCTTTCAGTTACTAAGGGACTTAATATATTAAATGTTGCAAAAATTGAAAATGTCTATATACACAAACATTAGTTCTATTTAATTGTTCATTTTGCTAAGGTTGAAGCAATTTCCGCAGGCGAAGATAGAAGCTGTAATCTTTTTGGTAGAAGGGTACAGCCAGGGACTTCCATAGAATTGAGAGAGAAGGAGGGGGAGGGGGAACCAGGCAGGTTGGATTGCAAAGCATGCCTTTCCAGCTGCATCTCTCATGTCTTCTCAAGGGGGTCTTGCAAACTCAACAGAAGCTAAATCCTCAACAGTATGACTTGAGCCATGAACCATAGCTGTGGTCAAAGTAAAAAGGATGAGGCAGACCTCCATTCAAGTCCTGACTGTACCTGAGGCATGCATGCCTCATCTCCCTGAGCCTCAGGGTTCCTAGTTGTCAAATGGAGATGATAATTTTCTCTTAGAGGATTAAAGATGAAGGTTATTTCTTCCTAAGTGCCATGCATACAGTAGGTACTCAGCCATGGCATATGGGATGATTACTTCCTTGCCGCTGCTTTTGCCCAGAAACTTACTAGCTGTCTTCCCTTTACGTATCCCAGCTTTACTCCTCCTCCTAGGCACAGCTCCTAATTGGCTTTCTCCACTCAAGAACCGTTCAAACTCAAAGAATATTCATTCTTTCTAAAAACAAAATCCCCATTTTCCATCATATTTATGTAGCCATAACGACATAGTTCCTTTTATTATTTATTTTTTCAAGTCTTGAAAACATGCCCTATTTTGTCCAGAAGGAGGTATGCATATTGAATTTGATTCTGGAATCTGTGGGCAAAGCCTGTTATTACTTCCCAGGTCCAGCACAGTTCCTGGTCCATAGGGAGACATCATTCTTTGCCTTTGTAACAGAGATAGCTGCCTTTGCTTGTGGAGCATTCTGGTGTGCAAAGCTGCCCTTGGACACAGACATCATCCTGCCTTCCTCCCCTCTTCACAGATGACAGCAAAGCGCGGCTCAGCAGCAGCCTGCCCTCTGCCACCCTGGGCAGCCTCCTGGATGACCAGCACTGGCACTCAGTCCTCATCGAGCGGGTGGGCAAGCAGGTGAACTTCACGGTGGACAAGCACACACAGCACTTCCGCACCAAGGGCGAGACGGATGCCTTAGACATTGACTATGAGGTGAGTTGCTCCTCCCTGCACCTCCCAGGCCCCTTGCTTCAATGAACGCAACAAGAAAATCAGTGAGCAGAGCAACTGAGAGAAGTGGTGGGGCACTGAGGAGTCTTACCCTGGGACTTACTTCCTCCATCTATGCCAGATAGTCTACAAGGAAAGGCGTGCAGCCAGAGAATCTGACCAGTGAGGGAGTGAGGGTTAAACCACAAGATAGCAGGTGTGTGCATTTTAAAGTCAGCAGGTCTCCTCATTTTTTTTTTCCTGCTTGTAACCTTTCTGTGCCACTGCCTAGTCTCTTGGTTATGTACCTCCTTAAAAAAAAAGACTTCAGTTATCTGTGGTGATGAAAGATATTTAAATTACAAACAAAACCCATGGAATCTGAAACCTGCAGTCAAGACACTACTCTTTGACTTTCACTCTTTCGATGCAAACTTTTGACTAATACCATGGTGAGCTGTTTCTTCCCTGCTGTCTTGTAGAAGAGGTGCGGTGAAATGCACCAATTCTACAATACAAAGAAAGTTGCACAAAGCTCTGCAAACTGGCAGCCAAGAGTTCGCCATTTTTGCTAGTAGTTCAGTTCAAGGGATGCATATTGTGCCCCTGCTGTACACCAGGCTCTGCTGGACCATAAATATTCAGTCTCTGAGTTGGAGAAACTGAGATAAGCCCTTGCAGAACAAGGAGGTAAAGGCTACAGTGGATGAAGCCCCTGTCACTGAAGGTTTGGAATATAGAAATTTTATATTTATATAGGAAACAGGGCATTTAATTCAACCTTGAAAAATAGCAGAAGTTTTCTAGCAGGATAAGCTGCTAAGTCTTGAAAGAATAGGGTGAAAAGATTGGGGAGGCATGACAGAGCGTGGTTTAAAAATTGTCAAACAGTCCAGTATTTATGGAATTCAAAAGAATGGGCTATCAGTGGTGTGTTTGAGTCAGCTTGTTACCAGTTTATGAGTTTCAAGTTGTAGATTTTCAGAAATTTTTGTGAGCTCTTGGTTAACCTAGCCATTATTAAAAATTAAGTTGGCTGGACGTGGTGGTTCACGCCTGTAATCTCAGCCCTTTGGGAAGCCGAGACCAGCAGATCATGAGGTCGGGAGATAGAGACCATCCTGGTTAACATGATAAAACCCCGTCCTTACCAAAAACACAAAAAATTTGCCAGGCGTGGTGGTGGGTGCCTGTAGTCTCTCATACTCGGGTGGCTGAGTCAGTAGAATCGCTTGAAACCGGGAGGCGGAGCTTGCAGTGAACCGAGATTGTGCCACTGCACTCCAGCCCGGGACACAGAGCGAGACTCCATCTTAAAAATACTACTAATAATAATTAAGTTATATAAACGTGAAATTAGTTTTAAAAGCTAATAAACTCATTGATTTCTAATTATTTCACTATATTATATTGATTTGCTGTCTCTTTTAACCAAAGGTGCTCTGGAGGAATTGCATGACTATTCTATCTGTGTCGTGGGGATACTGTATGTTGGGCTGCGACCACACAGCTCTCCCCAATTCCATGTTCAGTGAAATCCCTTTGACAGCTTGAAGTCTACCATAGTGGAAATACTTATACCACAGAGGTTGACATACGTTACAAATCAGGGACTGCTTTATTGTTTTGTGGATTGTCTAAACCAGGGGTCAGAAAACTAACTGGCTTGTCTGGCTTGAGGCCTATTTTTTTAAGATGCATGAGTTAAGACTAATTTTTACATTTTTAAAGGGTTGTAAAGGAAATAAAGAAATCTTTTGAAAAGAATATATGACAGAGACTTTATGTGCTACCGATAAAATCATTCAACAAAGGTCAGCAAAAGCATTCTATAAAACTCAGCTGGTTGTACAGAACTGACAATAATAGATTATTGCATATTTTATCATTATTCATAAATTGTGTGCTACACATTGTTAATATCATTAAAATAATCTTATGTTTGGATACACAGTCATGGCACACCGACACATACATACCTGTGTGTGTGTCTGTGTGTTCCTGTGTCCCACCCTGGACAGCCTGCTAGGAGACAATTTCAATCACTCGTGGGATAGATAATAGAATGGTGGAGGTGGAGATGAATAATTGAAAAATCGGGACTTATTTTTTCAGTCACTATCATGAGAATAAGAGAGCTCTTTTGATCTTAACCTTAGTTTAGTAGACTGTGGATAAAATATGCCATTCATTAACTTCAAAAAAGAATTTGTCGCTCTTTGACTCGGAATACAAGATAACAGGTGGATATTTTTGAGTTGCTGAAAACTGGAAATCTGTGAATATCAATCACTCTCCTTTGTCGACTTGTTTAATTGATTGACAAAAGAAAGAACACACTCTATATTGGAACCACCTAAAAGAAAAGAGATATCTTTTATAAACTTGAAGACAACAACAACAGCAGCAAAAAAAAAAAAAAACCTATAAAATCATCTCGTCATTCCCCCCACATACGTTCCCTTTAATGTCCCAGAAGATGGTTCTAAAATTCACTCTGTTGCCAGATTTAACATTTATTACAAGCCCATGTCTGCTTATTTTTTGTCTCTTGTGTATGGAATCTGTATGAAATCACAGCCGAGTGACATTACAGTGAAAGTCAGCATTTAGGGAAATGAAATCCGATGAAGCTGGAACTGATTTCTTCAGGGCGTGCACGAAATGTCTTGGTGCCTTATAAAATGTGCTCCCTAGGAAAGAGACACCTTGAAACGTTCCTCCGAAGCAACCTCTGCTTTAGGGAATTCAAGTCTTCTCCAGATTGTTCAGCCAGCTTGCTCCAATGATCATAAAAGAAGACAGATTGGTTGTAATAGTGGCGTTTGACATTAGCTGTGCTGGAAGACAAGAGTTATGTGTCGGGAGAAGCCTCCAGCCTTTGAAGATGCACTCCAGAGTCTGTGTGGAAATGAAGGGACCCTGGTGTAGAAACCCTGTGTTCTACTTACCACATGACCACTAACTGGCTGTGTAAACCTGGGAAATAAAAATTTCTAACTTCAGTCATCCAGAAGCAAAATTCGCACCCCTGTTGGAAGGAATGGAGCTAAACAGGATATATAAATCTAAGATCTATTTTATCACAATGTTGCATATCAATTAGAATCTACATTGATTTGCTTTCTGCCATGCATGTGCACGAATGAGGCCTGGATATCACCAGCTAGAGGATGACAGTCATGTCTTTGTGTGCCAATGACTAATTTTTGGAGCATGTACTACTCTGATATATACTTCTGTACCCTATCTAATTTCATACCAAAGCAAATGCAATTATGCAAACCTATGTTTCTTTTCACTCTTTACCATGATGTGGTAATAATGGCAAGAAAAGGTAGTAGCTTTCATTCCTCATCTTATAGTACCTTAGGGATATCAATCAAATGACTTTCTGTAAAGCAACTAGTGTGAACTTTGCTGCACTAAGATGTCTGCAGTGGTCTGTTTCCCTTCCTGCCCAGAAAGCAAACAGACAAGAGCTCACAGAATCTGCTGTCAAAAAAAAAAAAAAAAAGGCAGAATGTGATCCTTTACTTCTCATTAGAATGTCTTCTCAGTTTACATCACTTAACCCATGTGACTTCTCCAAATGCTGCGAGAGAAAGACTGTAGCAGCTCAGTTTACTTCCAGCCTGGAGCAGAAGGGCTTGAGAAAAAAGATATTTTTAGGACTTTAGAAAAAATAGTTCTTTTCTAACATTTTTGTAATCCAAGAAGTCTTTTCTTATCAAGACTGTTCAGTAATCTTGTTTTACATAGCTATTTTGTAAGCTCTTAAACTGTTGAAAACATATTTGAAAAATATATATGATTTAGGAGTCAGGCACGGTGGTTTTTCTGTAGTCCCAGCTACTTGGGAGACTGAGGAGGGAGGATGGCTTGAACCCAGTTTGAGGCTGCAGTGAGCTATGATAGCGCCACTGCACTCCAGCCTGGGTAGCAGAATAAAACCCTGTTTCTTTAAAAAAATATATATATATATACACACACACATACACACACATAATGTATATATGTACACACAAATACATAATGTGTATATATACACACATACATATTTGATTTATATATTATCACTTAATAGATACTGAAAAGACATTTTACATAGTACAAAATATATTTTCAATGAAAATTCTTAGTCAAAAAAACAAACAAAAAATTAGATTGAACTGAACATTTTTAAATACATAGATGTTTAATCTCTAAGAATAAGTTTCACAGAAGTTTTAAATAGAGATTATATTTTTTAAACGTATGAGTGTTGGAGATTCTTCTAGGAATGGCATAAAATCCAGCAACTTGGAACTAAAACATAAAAAAAAATTTGTCTATGTAAAAATTTTGAAAACCATGTGACTGTTCACCAAAAAAAAAAAAAAAATCTATATAATCACCCTCCCAAGAACTTTAAAAAGTACTTCAAAAAAAAAATCACACTTTTGAGGCAGGGCTAAATTGCAGTTCCCACTCGGACAGGCAGAACAGCGAGTGGAGGCTCGCATCATGAACTTTTGCTCCAGAAAGACTGCAGGAATACATTACGAAAGCCCAGAGGACCCACAGACCCTCCAAAGGAAGCGGACTGCTCCTGCAGGACCCAGGAGACACCCCAAATACTGCGAGTGCCCAAACTGTGGCGGGAAAGGGAGATCATCCCACACAAGAGGGATCATCTGCCCCTGAACACAAACCGCCACTGGGGAACCCGAAGGTCTAGATTACAGGAGAACATTCTGACCTTACTTGGAGCTCATTGAATTTAGAAAGCTGAGCAAAATGCCCAAATGAAGCAGCAGGAAAATCCCTGTAGGCTTGCTGAGTCAATTGCTGCCTTGCTGGGCAGTGGACCTTCAGGAGGGCTACCAGAGGCAATTAGAAAAGGCCATAGGGAGAAGGAAATCTCTAGCTGAACTTCGTAACAATCTGAACCCACTGAGAAGTCTCCTGGCCAGAACAGAAGGGAGGGCATGAATCCAGTGTCCAGAATCCACAGGTAGAGG